GTGACTCGCGCGACTGTCACCCCTCTCGAGAATTCCGACTCCATCGAACTTAAATGTGTTGCCGACTCTCGTCAGATGAGCCACAACTTGAGAGCCTGTATCATCCCTCCCACTGTGTTGCGTGTTTGGTCACTCGTGTTCAGGTGAGTCGCCCAGTTTTTTCGACACGACTGTTTTTCCCACAACAGCGTCAGATCCAGTAAAACTATTAACGAGAGTGATGACGCTCCCATTTCAAGTAATTATCATGTCGGCAGTCAGCATAGGTGATCAAAAGGCAGCAATTAGCAATTCACATGCGGACGAGCAGGCAGTCATCGCATTAAGTACGATCATCGGTGATGAGTGCTGGAGTTGCTAAGTACGACAGACAAGTGGTGGCATGGCAACTACATTCTATAAATATTGCAGCCCTTGCGCGGCAATCACCCCTTCCTGTAGCCGTTTCTGGCGGCTTTGAAAACAAACACGAAACGTCAGGCGAACAAAATCCTTGTTTCAGCCATTGCATCTCCTCATTCTAACCCCGCCACTTCACTCCACCCCACTTTCCATGGAAACCTTGATGACGGAGAAGGAAATATTCAATTAAGTCGGCTGTATATTTCGCCCAGGCCTGAACGTTTTCTCGCACATCGGAGATGCCACTTACGAAGATTCTCCACCTCTACCAGTTTCCGAGATTTGGTGATTTGCTCTGGTGCTCCAAATGATGGTTGACGATTCCGCATATCACAGTCACCCATATCAATTCCCTTCGTAGCTGGTTCAAGATGACTTCTCTCGTCATCGATCACACTTCTTCATGCGATGACAGCGTGATTTCCGGTCATTACTGATTGCGTGAATCACAAGTTAGGAAGACAGGAGTTAAGACAACAAATGGAAACAAGCGGCGCCATTCTAGGTGCCGACCTGTGAGAAAAGACCATGCGAAACAAGCCGCGGTCGGGGACGCAGACGACGTGGGAGTCGCGGAATTTCACTGGCCAAAGCTGTTGAACAAAGATGAACAACCAATTTATGCAGTTAGGGAAGGACAAGAGGTTTGACTGAAAACCTTCATGCTGCGCCAGGCGTCAAAAGCAATCCTGTCTCACCCTTTGGACGGTAGATTCAGGTTCGACCAGCGGCGGTGAATAAATTCGAAATCTGTCGAGAGTATCTTCGGGAGTAGCATGGTGCACGAGGCTACCTGATCGGTTGAACCCTGAGCAATGGCCTTTGTGCACTCACATGCCGCATAAGCTATCGTTAGTCTGTGCGCGCTAAACGAACAATCGAAAACTGGTGAGTTATTCACGTGTCCAGTCCACAGTCTATCACACGCAGCTGGGTATTTGCAGGTAAACTGACTTAGATGATGGCGCCAAATGCTAGAAGTAGAGACGATGCGGTCGTAGAGTGACAGGGGAAAGCAGAGGCGAGTCCGAGCTTCGCAGCATTGAAGAAACTCAAGCTGGCGGCATAATATGGTCGTCGGCTTGTACTCCACTTGTAACCGATGTTTGCTAAGGTGTCTTTCGAGGAGTTCACACACACTGCGCAACTGATTTGCATAGCCTAAAGATAGGGCTCGCTACCTAAGTGAGAGGTTGTCTACAAGATTGCATGAGACACCCGCAACGCAGTGTACGGCGGTCAGACTGGAAATTCGGCCCCTACATGCATGCACAAGCACCAACTGGCCGTAAAGGGGCGAGACCACTTGTCGCAAGTTGCCATGCATGCACAGGAAACTGGCCATAGATCTGACTTGGAGAAAACTCGCATTCGTGGTGTTTGCCCACCTAAGAAAGGCCGAGAACCTTTGGAGGCTGTGCTCTCCGATGAATCACGTATTAATTGGTACATCGAACTAGACGATGAGCACAGCAATAAACAAGGGAGAATCGAAGAGGCGACGGTCAATCAGCACCGGATGTCGAACCCCAGTCATGACTTTTTGGAAACAATGAAAGGGAAGTATTGATTTTCAGATACCGCCAAAATGCCGACTGTCTCGCACATTTGGCATATGCCCAAAGACACCCTGGGGAACCGGTGTTGAAAATTTATTGACTAAAGTTTGTTACATCCCCAAGAAGAGCATTACCGACAAATACAAGAGACTGAAATAGCTATTTCTGGCTCATTAGCTAGGGACAAGGGACTTTTGAGCAACAGGTCGCGGTATCGAGCCCCAAGCGTTGCACACTTCGGGGTTGAGTATGGTTGGTTTGCGACGGCTAGTAAGCCAGAAATGGTTATT